CTTTCCTTGAAGGAAAAGGACGAGTCTTCACGAATGGCCGACCTCGAGGGGGCCGTTTCTGCTCGGGATCTAAGGATTGCCGACCTCGAGGAGGAGCGCGCTCAGCTATTGAGGGAGCTTGAGCATATGCAAAATGATCTACGCAGTGCTCAGGGTGAGGCCGGTACTGCGAAGGCTGAGGCTGAGCACTCCAAGCTTGAGCTCGATCAGCTTAAAAACGATTTTGATGCGAAGCTGGCCAATGCTCGAGAGGAAGCGATCGAGGACTTCAAGAAGTCTGACGCCTTCAACGAGTTAAAGGGTGATTATGCTATGGGCTCTTACTTTCATGCCCTGAAGGAAGCTCGAGCTTTCATGCGCCTGAGGCCGGATGCTCGCCCTGAGGATCTGAAGTCAATCCCCGAGGTGGCTGATGACCTTCATCTTTCAGAGTCCGAAGAAAACGCTGGGGATGAAGACGTCGATATCGAGGGCGATGATGCCGAGGAAGGCCAAGGCAGTCAGGACACCGACGCCTAAATTTACCGAGCTTATCCTGTATTGTTATTTTTTTGTAATTGTAAAATGCCCGATCTTAATGGAGATTATTTTTTTTCTTTTGATCGAGCTTATTTTGTATTATCGTCGTGTTTCTATTTTCATATGCGCCGAACATTAATCAATACCTCGAGAAGGATTGATTATCTCGATCATAAAGACAATTAATTATCTCGACGATAAAGACAATTAATTAGCTCGACGACTAAAAAGATCAATTATCACGACGACAATATTGAATTAATATCCCGACGAATAAAAATCATGACGATTGAAAAAAAACAAATCAATCTGATTTTTAAACAAGTCTTAATGCCGGGGACAATAGCGAATAGTTCAACACCTTGATGGTAAATCTGTCCCGACGTTTATATTGAATTATCTCGAGGACCAATCACGATGGGCAGTTGCCTCGGGGTATTCGAAGAATTGTGACTGACTTCTGTACGTAGTTTATCCCGAGCTCTTATTTTTCAGCTTTGGACCAAAATACAAGGATATATGGTCAGGATGTATGTCCTCGGGATTTATACTTGTGCTGCGCTATTGTACTGATTATGAGCTCCAGGATTTTAGTGCTTGTGAGAGGCAAGGCTTACATGCTTGCTCGAGGGCAAGGCTTAGAGGGGCTTGTCAAGGACAAGACTTGAAGGGGCCTGCTCGAGGGCGAGGCTTAAATTGGCTTGTCAAAGACAAGGCTTAAAGGGGCTTGCCCGAGGGCAAGGCTCAAATTGGCTTGCTCGAGGGCAAGGCTTAAATTGGCTTGTCAAAGACAAGGCTTAAAGGGGCTTGCCCGAGGACGTGTCGAATGATTGTGTAATAAATCTTCGGGCTAATATCCCGGGCATACATGATACCCGAGCACATATGTCCCGAGCATTTCGATACACATACCGACGAAATTGAGTCCTCGGTCTATATTCGTCGGGGAACAAAACTCGGTTATATCAGATTACATTTTGAAACTGCCCAAAATGGATTATACATATTAAATTAAGATTATCACTGTCAATTGGATGTTTGCTTGAAGAAAAGGAGGACCTCGTGCATTGGTGGAGTACAGTATGATACAGTGTGTTTGTGCGCGCGCGACTAGAACCCCGAGACCTCTCTATTGTGATACTTTTTGAAACCTAATCTAATCTGCTTGTGGAGCTTCCATCCTAATGACATTAATTTGGACTGATCTCCCAAAAGAAAGTCTAATCAACATGATTATATCTCTGACCCATTGAATATATTATGTATAGGGATGTCTATTGTATCAAGTTTGGTTCCATATGTGTGTGACAATGATTCGGATGACGATGAATTTGATGTGGCTATTGAAGATATGATGACGCTTGATTATTTTCTTTTCAAAGAAAGAAGTATTACGGATACGATACCTTGTAGAACATCATTGCTTACTGGAAGGATGTACGTGCTTGAAATTTTGAATGGACATCCAACCGTATCTCATGATATTTTTCGTATGCAGAAACATGTTTTTATGAATTTTTGTGATATCTTGAAAGAGAAAAGATTATTGAGAGATGGAAAAAAGGTGAGCGTTGAAGAGGCGTTGCTATGTTTCTGATGATTACAG